ACGGCACGCCCAATGAGGACACGAGATACATTTGTGCGTGCACGAGCTGGAAGGCTGACAGACAGCGCGGCAATCCAATCCGTTTAGCAAACGGATTGGTTGTAGTTTTTACAGTATTACGGGTTCCACAGATGACATTTTTTTATTGGATTTTTTGTCAAAGCACTTCAGATATTCATTGCTATCGGGATGTTAAGAGCATTCCATGGAATATAACAAAAAGTGTATCTCGAGCCGGTTTCTCAAACCTACCTACCCCACCTTTATTGGGTATTTATTTATATTAGCAGTATATTTGCTCTTTATTAGTCATTATAAAACACTTATTAATGCCTTATTCTACAAGTAATACGCCATTAGTTGAGAGTTTTTCTTCAATAACCCTCTAATTAGTGCTTATTTACTGCAAGTAAGGAAGTTGTTGTAAAGAGTTTGGGTCTTAATATGCTCTGCTCAATATGGGCCTAATAAGGCAGTAGTACCACAAGAATAGTAATTCTCCCATAATAACACTTAACAAATATGATCTATTCTTATGTAACAAGACATTAAACTATAAGTGTTAATTGTGTCTAAATAACTCAAAATTAGGTATGTACATCGAAGAACATGTTCCCTATTTTAAAGTGAAGTCTTGTTCATAACCAATAAGCTAGTAGCTTAACTCTAATTTTCAGACAGGTATTTATAGAAATGGATCAGGACAAAAAGTGAGAGAATCTTTTTTCCTGAAACTTTCAGAATCTCTTTACTACAGAGGGGACGACATGTTTNTATCTGTTTTATTAATGAACCACTAAAGAGAGGTTCAGACACATCCCAAAACATGTCAAGTTTCTCCAAGGCTGAGAACACATGCTTTTTAATACAAACAGATTTTTAACAGAGTTTATGTATTTGTGATCATACTGTGTGACCTGCTTGTATGTTCTTACACAATAGGTGTACTGTTCTCTCTCTGTGTTGTACTGTCTCAGTGTGAACATAGATTAAAGCCAGCCAAACTCTTTTGAGAGCCAGGGAATGAGTAGCCATGATCCTTTATTGACTTATTTGCAGTCCACCGACATTCAAATGGAGTGAAACTATAAAAAAAGAAGTTACAAGGCACTTAATAATCTCATACATGCAAGTATAACATACACAGATTAACACATGGGACCACTAAGTGTAAACAAGGTAAATATAGCTAATGATAGCTCCTGATGGAGTTTGAGCAACACTTCTGCCTCCATCAGACTCCACTGATCAACAACGTCTACATCCATCATCATGTTTCACATCAAGAGTGGAAGATTATACACTCATTCTAAATTACATATTATTTCATTTGAGTCTTGATCTAATAAACCACTGGATGTCACTGTGAAGAGCTTTGAACTCTTGTTTCCTTATATGGTCTTCATGCTGAAGGTTCAGAGCTGATTTTAAGATGTACTGATTGTTTTTGAAGATACAGCAGCTTGAGCTCATTTTAATATCTCTGTGTTCAGAATTAACATTTTTCATCCACTTTCATTTAGCTTAGCTGTTAAAACATGTGTTTTGATGTCCATGTGATT